AAGTGAGAGGAGAAGAATGAAAAGAGAAGAAAAACAAAAAGGGGGTAAGGGAAAAAGAGCAGAGAGAGAGAGAGGGTAGAGAGAAAAATTAGATATACAAAGGATTCAGTTAATCCTTTATCAACGTCAAAATCAATGCATTTTATTCTCATGAATGTTCATGTATTAAACATACAGAATTTAACACAATATATATATAGAGAGAGAGAGAAAGAGAAACCGACAATATGAATCCGTAGCATTAAGAATATATTTGAATATGTTCACATCTGCCTACTCTTATATACCCTACCTATGAACATTAAAGGGTATAGCCCAATTCTCATAAATACGTTGGCCGCTATTGTAAGTGGGGGGTAATATGCTGGCTAAGTAATCAACCACTAGCAGTGGTTTACCTACTTCACGGCGCTGGCGAGTATTGTATTTTGTTGATGTTATAAAGATTACGATTTCATTTCCAAACTCTGTTTTAGTTATTCTTCATTCAGTAACTATTACTAGGTTATAATATTTTGACGACGTGGATGAGATATTGAGTCAGTGCAGAGTAAATCTAATAAGGGTGTCGTTAGATACCGTGTCTATGAACACTAATGGGTACGTCCCAATCCTCATAAATACGTTGGACACTATTGTAAGTGGGGGTAATATGCTGTATAAGTAGTCAACCACTAGCAGTGGTTTACCTACTCCACGCCGCTGGCGAGTATTGTATTTTGTTGGTATTGTAAAGATTATCTTTGCATTTACAACCTCCGTTTTGGTTATTCCTCATTTAGTAACATTTTCTTGGTTACAACAGTTTTTGTAGCCTAAATAGTAAGTCTCCCGAGGTGGACATTATCAAGATATCACCCATTTGGCCATTTGACCCTGGTGAAATTCGAACACAGTTCTCATAGTAGGGACGCTAATCGTTTATCTAGTAGTTCCACATAATGGCTAGATTATAACAATAATGGATTCTTTATTTCATGTATTCTGACATTTTATTCCTGATTTTCAATGTATAATATACAAACAGACGCTAAAAACTTTTTAAAACTAGGTGAAAATAGTAAAATTAGGTATTCAACCATCAGATATAATCAAAACGTTGTTTGTTCAATCATTTTACCCCAAACATGGCAATAAAGCCACTAAGACGCTAGTAGTTACTAAGTGTGAAAGAATATGAAAATAAATGCATTATTAGGAGAAAAAAAGTAAAAGAACAGGTTAAGAGAATACATCGTATTTATAACTTTTATTACTAATTAAAATAAAAAGTAAAGTAAACCATACCCCCACTGAAACTGATGGAAACTATTTCCACAAATATACGAATATATTTAGCAACAGCCGACAAAATGCTCAATCAATTTCGATTTCCACCACCTCTAATGAGATCCACTATCACCTGATATATATTCCGGTGTTTACAATGGTAAATAGCCAATCACAATACCAAAGGTTAATTCAAAGCTAGTATTTTGTATGTTATGTCCAACGTATATGAAAAGAAATCCCTTCCGAGTTGACATGAAGGTGTCCATGAGATTTTTCCACATAACCATTTGTTTTATATATCTCTTGAAAATATACTAATTAGATTATAATTTGACAGAAGCTGTATAGTTCCAGACAATCGAGACTCGGCTATTGAAAATCAAGAATATAAAAATGGCTAAAAGACCTATGACGAATAACAGTTGGAGATTCGCAAACCAATGTCCAATTGGCTTACGTAACACGAGTTGTATGTAGAAACAAAGATAATAAAGAGATAAAGTGAAAATTAAGTTACAACTGGAAATTATATGAAAAGAAAAAAACAAAAACAAATACAATTGACAAGTTACGCGATAACACAAAGTGACACTAAATATTGTAAATCAATGCATTATGTTGCAAAGAGGTCGAACGGCGGAGCATCAAAAAGGCGTTGGGAGAATGATAAACGATGCCAAGAAAAAAAATCTGCAAATATTATTGAGAAAAAACAGGGTAGGCAACATTGAAAAATTCTTTTCTATTGCTTATATATGTCGGCAACTCTCACAAACATACAAGCATCTGCAATATATTTAAACATAAACACAAATATACAGACACGCAGTTCATTCTTTGGTTTTCGGATTTCATGAAGCGTTAAATGGCGAAATGATTTATTAAACATATTTTGAAAAAAAAATTTCAATGAACGTTTCCAATTGGCAAAATTTACAATCTTTGTAGTGATTTCTATATCCTAATATATATATATATATATATATATATATATATATATATATATATATATACGTGTGTGTTTAAAGGTTAATGGCCTGAGTTGAACCAGTCCAGGAACAGTAGTATTAAGAAGTGCTCAATACACGTGCATATATATATATATATATATATATATATATATATATATATATATATATATATATATATATATGTATAAGCTATATATATATATAGATAGATTAAAAGCTATATATATCTATAAATGCTATATATATAAGCTATATGTATATATATATATATATATTTATAGCTCAAAAGCTACATATAAGCTACATATACATATATATATATATATATAGCTTAAAAGATATATATATATATATATACATATAAGCTATATATACATAGCTTAAAAGCTATATATATATATATATATATATATATATATAGCTTATATATATAGCTTTTTGAACTATATATATATATATATATATATATATATATATATATAGCTTATATATGTAGCTTTTGAACTATCTATATATATATATATACATATATATATATATATATAGCTTATATATTTAGCTTTTGAACTATATATATAAATATTTATATATATATATATATATATATATATATATATATATATATATAATATATATATATATATATTTATGTAAATATATATATCTATTTTTTATCACTAAATATTTTTATGTGCAATCATGAATTAAACATTTATATTCATATATATATTTCATTTCTCAGGGACTTACTTAGTGCCCCATATATTCGATCTTGTGTCATATCAAATCTACGCTTAGAAAATCGCTTTATTTCATTGCGAGGTGACTTACTTTGAACCCAATAGCCCCATATATATATATATATATATATATATATATATATATATATATATATATATATATATATATATATATATATATATAGCATTTACAGATACATATATATATATAAATATATAGCTTTTAATCTATATATACAAAACTTAAAAGCTACAGCGTTGATCAAATGGGAGTTTTCTCCTGTAAATCTTGGGCTTGGGTGCTTGACACATGTTTTTTTTTATTTATTTAAGATGTCTTGAATGCGTAAGTCGGTAAGCGTAATACAAACTCTGTAATAACTAAAACTTGGGCCTCTCTTCCCAAGTACAAATATCTAACATAATAACCTCTGAAGTAATAATAATTTCGGATGAAAAATAAATCTGTTAATTATTATCCATTGCTTTGTTTACGATTCGAATAGCAAACTGAGCAGACATGGGCTCTCGATAAAAGTAAGCCGGTTAAGGAGGATGTGCTTGCTTTAAATAATGTAAAAATGAACGTTGCTTGGTGTAAAGTCCTCCGCGCTAAACAGCTAAAGCCCCCCGGTTAAAACGCTGTTTTCCACTATAAATAAATAAATATTGAAATGTATAAGTAGTATCGGTAGAGTAATGGTTAACGGCTTGGTTTGAGAAATCGGAGAGCCGAGTTCAAATTCCAGTCGAATCCATTACATTCACTTACGTACTAATAAACTTGAGCAAAGGTATGAATCCTTTTCTTCTCAATACGGGTTCGACAGACTATGGCCTTGGATGGTAACTGGCCTAGGAAAACTCTGAATTCAAAACCCGCTGTCGCTGGGACATCCTGTGCAATATATTCGGTCCTTAAAAACGTGTGGCTGGTTCTGCACACTTTTATATATTTTATATCTAGAAAAAAATCACTAATACAAGGAAATTGATTTAAAAGCTTAGATTACCTGTCGTATTTAATGAGAGTTGTATAAAATAGAGATTGCTGCCCAAATACACAAATATATATATATATATACACATATTATATATATATATATATATATATATATATATATATATATATATATATATATAAAACCTACGTTTAAAGTATGATTCAGAGTTTCATATATGTAATTATTAATATACACTTTATACCTCTGTTTTACTATATTGAGCACAGTTTTGTCTACACCATTAATTAAATAAATAGTTATTCTCTCACCAGTATGTATACGTAATCGCACACATATATGCTTGATCGTATCTCTTTAATTAGATCATTTCAATATCTCTCTCTCTTACTATATATATATATATATATATATATATATATATATATATATATATATATATATATTTGTGTGTGAGTGTATGTGCATATAGGAACGTTTTTTATTTATATGCATAGATAAATATATTAGAAGCTATAGATAAATACTCATGAGTAAAAGTGTAACTTAGTATCGATATGAAAATTATATATCTATCTCTCTCTATATATGTGTGTGTGTGTTTTATATATATATATATATATATATGTATGTGTGTGTGTGTGTGCATCTGTATATATATATATATATATATATATATATATATATATATATATATATATATCTGTGTGTGTGTGTATATATATATATATATTGTTTGTAGATGTGTAGATATGTGTGTGCGCTTGGTTTCAGACTGGCACATACTCTCTCACACCTCAATCCTAGAATCAAAGACATTTGAGGAAATCTGATTATTTAATTTTATTTCCTGTGACGACGAAGGCGTTAATAGAGGAAAGAAAAAAAAAACAGTCTAAAAAGACATTTTGCTAATTTCATTCGGACTATCAAATTATTTATTAAACCTCTGACCCAGAAGCCTGCAAAATCCAACTCTATCGACCCTTACCATCATCTCCTTCTCACACATACGTTCTTGGCTTCTAAATAATGTTCATTTTTCCCTAGAACGTTTCTTTTAGTTTTTTCAGTGTTTCCTCGCTACAGTTTTACAATATATCTTTCTTTTATTCTCGCTCTAATTCCGTTTTCGTAAATCTTATCTATTTTTTTTTCTTTGACTTTCAGGTTCTGAGTTTTTGTTTGCATTGTTACTTTCACTTTCACTTTCGATTCTGTCTTAGTATTTTAAAAAAAATATACGATCATGCTTTCTCTGCTGTTCGGGTTTTCAGTTCGATGTTTTCTATTACATTACCAAGTCACCTGGATCGTTTATTTATTTAACTCAATTTTTATGTATTTACTCTTTATTTACGATTTGATCCACTTCTACTTGCTTGATTTTTCAGATTACATTATGATGGCTGTCCTTGCTGCGTTCGGTGTTGAAACAGAATTACAGAAAAAGATTTAGAAAAGAAACTCTAAAGAAAAACTCACAGCTACAGCAATATCAGTAAATATCACGCGGGCTTCTATGTATCTTATTTGAAACAAGATACACTAGTTGGGCGGTTTTAATGTTTTTTCAACATTTAGATTATAAGAGATTACACAGCAAAAGCACGTATAGACGTAAATCCGAATGTTAGCATACTGACATGAAAATTGCTTCATAATTAATAGGACATTTATTCAGATTTAAAGACTTTGGCACATATTTTCAATGTTTGCATCTGGGATCGAACAATCTCCTGTAGATTTACAATTTGGGATTTGCTATCTCATTACAAATAGAGTGGAATCTCGGTTCACGAATTTACTTCGTTCCTGAAGGCCTTTCATCACCCGAAATGTTCGTAAACTGAAACTATTTTTCTAATGTAGAGAAAAAAGTTACAGTAAAATAAAATTGAAAAAAAAAGCACAACACAAGACACAAATATATACAAACCGGCGGTCGACTCAGTATTCCGTTTGGATTAACTCGGCTCGGCGATGTTGTTCTAGAACCGAAATTTTGTTCGATAAACGAGGCATTTTCATCTCGAATTTTCTGTTCGAAAACCGATTCGACAGATATGTGAGACGTTCTAGAACCGAGATTTCACTGTAGTCTCATATGAAGATTAGTTTAGTAAACAGTTATCCATCACACAACTTCTTGTTGCGTTTCTAGATTTCCAAAATATTTGTTAATACAATATAATGGCCCTCTCCTCGTCTGTTAGGGGGTCTAAGCAGTCACTGTTGCGCAAAAGCCTGTTAGAACGTTCGGTTTCTGACCTTAAAAACCGGAAGTGAATCTCAGGTTGAAGAAGCCTGTTCAATGACCATAGAGCCCAACTGTGGTTTATAATGTAACTATGATCAGCAGACCTTAGTTAAAGTTTTGTGGAGAGAGCACATAACCTAGTGTGATCAACAGTGCTTATTTAAAAAAAAAAAGAAATTAACGTTCTACTTTCCATAAGCATGGCTGAAGCTAATCTCGAGGAAATTGACACTTTGTGCCTTCTTGTGTTTATGATCTCAGCTGACATCAAACAGAAAAATTATATTGAATCCATTCCTATGTCAGCTACTAAGAAAGTTTACTATGTTATGCGAGGCAATTTTCTCTCCAGAATATATCTTACATTTCTATAATCCATGCTTAGAATAATGCTGTCACATATGGTTCTGTTCCCTTGTTACTTACCTTCAGCTCCTTGAAAAACTCTAAAGAACAATCAGCAATATTATTGGTCCTGATCTTGCGGCTCGGCTTCAGTTACTTTCCAACCGCCATAACGTTACCACTCTGTGACTTTTCTATAAATACTTGCATGTCAATTGTTCGGATGAACTCTTCGCTATGGTACCTAGACTTTTTGAATTTAAGTGCAGTACTAAAACTGACGTCGAGATCTCATCAATTTACAGTTGAGCTTACTAGATAAAACCGTAAATTCTATGATAACAGTTTCTTATCTCGCACTTCTCGCTTGTGGAACTCCCTTTCGGTTCCTTTCTTTCCAGCCAACTTTAATCTGCAAACATTTAAATGCAATGTCAATCGCTATCTACGGTCCTCCTGATTACTCTCCCCCTCCTCCGCTTATTATTAATGTTTCTGTTTCTAATTCTTCTATAACCTGTAACCCCTTTCGTTTAAGTGGCTTGGGGTTCTACCGATTAAAAAAGTATATGAATGGAGAGACATTTTCAAATAATTTGAATTAGTTTCTTTTAATACCATGTCCCTTCAAGACATAAACGATCATGACTCTCCACAGAGTCCCTTTCTTTATAATCTGGGAATTACCATAACGTCTTTTGAAAGAGAATTCACTGCTTTCTCGTTACCTTCTCCACGTTGTGGAATTCATGGTTACCACCCAAGGCTTGAGCGCCCGATCTACCCTGCTATTTACTAACTAGAGGTAGAGGAGATATATTCATATCTTTTCCATAGCATGTACTTTAACCTTAAATTTAAATGCAATGTCTAACTACTGTCCTCTAGATTACTCTTCCCGCTCATTATTAATGTTTCTGTTCCTACTTCATCCACACCTTGTAGCCCCTTGTATCTTCGAGGCTTTACTGCCTTCCATGGGGTGACAGGGAACAAAAAAGGCCAGTTCGCTAAAAACATCAATCACAATGATCGCGCTTGCAAAATCGTCGAGGGCTTCTAAATGTCCGTGTACACAATTTCACTCACAAATCTAAGGCTTCGATCAAACCCCGTTATGGCTTTTAGGAGCTTTCCAAAAATGCTTCAAGCTGGGACCGCCTCGCAAGATCAATAACATCAAGAATTAACTACCTGATAAAAGGGATATACTGATATTCGAATCCTCGTTTGATGATCGAAAAGAGAACGTTATAATCATACGACCACTCGTCAATATATTTATTAATATACTTACAGATATACATGCAAACATTTATATGTTTCCGATTTGTTACATATATCCGCGTGATCAGTGGCTATATATTTGGCGATAGGGTGTCTAATGCTGATCTTTCAAAATGCAACATTGGTAGAATAAGACATTCCCGGTGCAGTCACAACTTTGCTGGTCTTATCACCTTGCAAGTATGAGTGACGACAGAATACCTAAGTTCCTCATGTATAGCCACCTTTACAAGTGGACAAAGGATAATTGGACAGCCGTGGCTTAAGTATAAAGACAAGCTAAAGCGTAAACTCTCAGCTTTCAGTGTGCCTTATACTAACTTCGAGCGAGTTGCCCTGGATAGAAATAACTGAAGAAATGTGTGCCACTGTGGTATCAGAAATTTCGTATTGACCGGCTAACAGACAAAAGACAACAGCGAAAAGCATCAGCAAATATTCCTGTTCATATTTCCTCGAGATCCTCGCTGTGGCACAATATGTGGACTTGTATGCAGATCACAAGCGGGACGGAAGTGTCGTATATAACATTGATATAAAAACTGAATGAGGTTGTCGGATCTTTATACGTCTAAATCGACGGGAGAATCCAGCATATCTATATATGTCTAATAAACGAAAAGCAGTAGGTGATGGTCTTGATATGAAGTCCTTGACTAAAGTTCTTCACACGACGAAACGCGACGGCGAAGTTAAATTTTTGCTTTTGGCTTTGTTTATATTGGCCTTTTAAAAATATACAGTTAAATTTTTACAGACACATGCAAAAACAAGCGCGCGCGCGCACACACACACACACACACACATATATATATATATATATTATATATATATATAAACCAAATGGGTAAATATAGGTAGATGTACGATCGAGCGATTATATGCAAATACATATAGTCTAAATTGTAGGAAAGAAACAGTTATCAATGTTAAATAACAGAGCTACTTAATATATATATATATTAAATATATATATACATAATACATTAGAATTTAAGATATTATTTTTATATATACATACATACATATATATATATATATATATATATATATATATATATATATATATATATATATATATATATATAAGTGAACATAGAACATAGAACTTTTTATATTTTTACACGTTCTATCTCTGATATTGAGCACTTTATCCCATAAATATAGCACATCTTAAGACTATATTTCTTTATATATATATATATATATATATATATATATATATATATATATATAAAAAAGGGAGATGAGCTATCTAGAGATAGCTATAGAAGTTGCAACAATTCAAATGTCAGCTGAATCCAAGCAATAATTTAATGAGTGGTATAGATTACTCTTCAATTTCATCTAGCCATTTACCACACACAGTTCTTTATTATTGCAACTGGTCAACAGGGGGAAAAAAACGAATAAACAACACAATTCTTTGACCAAAGTCACAAGGGTTAGGGTTAAAAAAAAGAACATGGGGGTTAAAATGGAGATGGTCTACCTTCCTTCGAAAGGGGAAACGCGTAACCAAATCTAGTTTGAACTTCATCGGCATTCTATATCCTATTTCACACACACACACACACACACACACACACACACACACACATATCTATCTATCTATCTATCTATCTATCTAGATAGATAGATAGATAGATAGATAGATAGATAGATATGAATATATATATACTCTTCAACAATGTTTATTATTTTTAAAAAAAGGATGATTAGAATTGGAATAGCATCAATATATAATGAAAGTGAAATTATACATTTTTGCTCCGAAGAATATACAACAAAATTATTAAATTGTTTATTTAAAAGAATAATTTTACATTTACCACATCCTGAAAGCAAATACAATTAAAACTAACGCAATGCAATATTTATCATTTATCAATTAATAAAGACATATATGAGAAAACAATTTTTTAGTCATCATTTTATTATGCATAAATTTTTTATTCATAAATTTATAATGTTTGAATCAATTGGCAATTAGAAAATGTAAAACTTCACTGTCATATGTTTAGATTTTATTCCAATTCTAATCATCACTTTTGAATTGCGGGCACATTTATCAATGTTTTTTTTAAAATTCCACTGACAAGGTTTGTTCATTCAATTTTTTTAAATACATATAAAGCAAATAAATATATAAGAACAAATAAAAAATACAAACAGCATTTATTCACTTCGGTTTATCAGGTATTAAATTACATCATTTACCATCCTTTGCTTTGACTAGTTTTTAGAAAAAAGAATTTGAGCGTTCTTTATATATATGTATATATATATATATGTGTGTGTGTGTGTGTGTGTGTGTTCTTAACTTTTTCGTCTCCCCAGTGTTTGAAAATAAAATAAATTGAATATTATTTTAATCTAATCTTCCCTTCCTTTTTTTTCATTTTTATGAAACAACAAAAAAAAAATTCTAAATAAGTTGTTAAAATTCCTCACGGAACGATGGTTACATAATTAACTGTCCCAAATTGAATACCTGAATTTTTTGTTCAGTAGGAACAGATAGGTTTGCCTGTTGCCCGTTTCACACTCCTTCGCATTCTTTTGAACATGTTTCAATGTTTATTTCTTCTTTCCTGTTTAGGGTTGTGTTTCCGGTTCCTTCTCCAAAGGTCTTCCCATTTTCTTTCACTCACAGTAACCCCTTGCAACTTAAAGTGCATTATCGCCTTGCTTGGGGTGAACTGATTCAAAAAAAAATCCATACTCATATTACTACTTATACTGATTGATCCACTCATACAAAAATTGGAAATAACTGTACGGCGAATATACAGTGTAACCCGGATATAAGAAACCCGGATATAAGAGAAACCCGGATATAAGAGAGATTTTATCTGGTCCCAAATTAGAGCCTGTGTTAATGTATATTAATTTAAATTAGACCCGGATATAAGAGACTTCTTCTCCGGTCCCGACAACTCTCTTACATCCGGGTTACACTGTATATTTTTTATATTAGTATTTATTAGACATTCCTCCAACCGCATTTGGTTTAATAAAAAAGAAAAAAAAATATTGATTTTATATCATTTCAAAAACAGGATCCTGTTCATAATATGAATACAGCGTCTAATTTTAAGAAACGACTGTTGTAATTACTGTGACTCATATCGAGAAAAGCAGGATTGGTGAGTTTGAAATTAAGAGAATTTATTAAAAACAATCAGACCAGAAGGCATCAATGACTAACGTAAGTAAAGGAGATTTATAAATTGTTGGTAAAAAGAACAGGCAGGGGTAGGAAAGAGACGACTATTGTCTGAAAGGAGGAACACGTGATTGAAACGTGAAATAGTAATCGGATATAAATAGTATCCTGGGAAACAAGTGGTATCCAACCGACTCTGAGAAGAGTTCATTCCAACCTTCTCCAAAATGATAAGAATTTTCTGTTAAAAGGAATAAAGGTCATTTATATAACATGTTATGAGATTGTATATTAAACTATAAACACAGCATAGGGAGTCTGAGACTCATGGGAGTTCCCCACTTACGGCATTATTCTACAAAAAGATAGGCTTTTTAAATAAGTCCTAATGGATCAGACGAAAAATAAAATACCGCGCATTTCGACAAGGAGAGAGAGAGAGAGAGAGAGTGAGATAGATAGAGAGCGAGAGAGAGCGAAGGAGATAGAGTGAGATAGCTAGATAGAGAGATAGATAGAGTGAGCGAGATAGAGAGAGAGATAGAGAGAGATAGAGTGAAAGAATGATAGAGAAATAGAGAAAGATAGAGATAGAGAGAGAGAGAGAGAGCGAAGGAGATAGAGTGAGATAGCTAGATAGAGAGATAGATAGAGTGAGCGAGATAGAGAGAGATAGAGTGAGATAGATAGATAGATAGATAGATGGAGAAATAGTGTGAGAGAGATAGAGTGAGAGAGATAGAGAGATAGAGTGAAAGAGATAGAGTGAGATAGACAGATAGATAGTTAGAGAGAGAGAGTGAGAGAGAGAGAGAGAGTGAGAGAGAGAGAGCTATGAAGATTATCAGGGATTAGATCCATCCGACATCGCATGATTCATACATTCTTAAAGCGTAAGAAAAATCAATATTCCAATAATTTCAGAATGAAATCGATTTGGGTCAAACTGATTCGAAAGTTGTATTCAAGATATATATTTTTATTTTTACTTCAGTGCGCGTTAAAAGATTTAAGAATTATTCTTCAATATTTCCAAGTGTTTATATACTCCCCTTCTTTCTTAAAATAATTCAACCAAAGAATTTGCTGACTCGGATGATTCCCTGCTGGTCACATTCAATGCCTCGAAAATCATACTAGAGGAATTCCGCCATCGCAGACCCAGAATTTTCACTAATCGCGATGAACGGATGTTCCCTAAGGGAGAGCCCGTGATTTGAGCGACTAATGGGGTTTTAAACTCAGCCCAGAGCTCAAGTGGAACATACGATTTGTTGCTTAAGATGTTTGAAAAATTCCCGCTTCCCTCTACCGCTCTAGTAAGTGTCTGGCTTCTCCAGCTCTTATCTAGTTTTACAAGAGTCAGATCAGGACGAAATTGGATTACTGTTGCCATATATGGGTAGGATCTACCCAATCTTCACTTTCTATTATCGACAGAGTCCAAAAGCGTCTCAAAATCTTGCTGGGTGACGAATTATTTTCCAACCTGAA